AAGAGGAGGCAGGGAGAGCAGGCGGCGGGGTGGAATGGAGTCAGGAAAGGAGGCTGAGAATCCGTTTTCTTTCAAAAATGAGTAGAAACATTCCAATTCCATTTTTCACTGTCTATCACATCATAGGAACACAAAGGCCTCAGCCAAACCCCTAAATATTTAAAGAGTAACAGAACCCCAGATTAAATTAATATCCACTTTCAAACAGTAGCTGCAGCAGGGCAATTGCCAAGTTATTTCTACCCTCATGAGAAAGGGGAGAAAGAAAATATCAGCCAGGACCTTCTTCGATCTGGAGCCCTGAAATCAGATCCCAACAGGGCAAGGCCGCACTGGGGAGCTTTCGCACAATCACATCTTTTCATGTTTCCACCCAGCCCGCTCCTTTCTCACTGGGCTCCCAGCTCCCGGCTTCCCTCCCGCGACAATGAATTGGTACCAAAGTGATCCGGACTGTTTTGACACGAAGCATCAATTCCACAGCCTCGGTTTTCATCGACAAATCAATTATTCTAGCTCATTACAAGGCCGGAGTAAGTTTTCCCATCAGAATAGAAACTTTCATTCACTCTGCCTTTCATTCGCCCAGGAAGGAAAAACAAAGGGAGGAAGGCGGGAGGGAGCCATGCTGGAGTTCCTAGAGAATGCTTACATGCTTTCTCCCTGGGACAGAACTCAGACAGATGAAATGTCACTGGGCCACGCATGCAGAGTTCCAGGAGGCGGGTTCGGGCTTCCTGAGAGCAGTCCGCTAAGTCTTCAACATCTCCATCTTGGAGCTGCCGAGAGGTAGCCACTATCTCCAAAGGCAGCAGGCTGGCTGGGAGAGAGGAGCAGGTTGGGTGGCAGGAAGTAAAAGGAGCCACACATAAAAGCTACACTAGATCACCAGCTTCTCCCACAGTGAGTTGATTGCCCCCCGCCATGTTACGTGCAGCACATCAGAGAGAGCACCTACTGTGTGTGGGAGCTAGGAGAGGTGCACTGGGCCCCTCCCTGCCTTCCACTGAGGGGCAGTGTCAGAAGCATGGTCCTACGCAGGGAGCCACTGTCCACTCACTTATTACTCCCTGTAATAAAGAGAGGGCCCCTGGGGAAATGGCTCTGTCCTTAATGTCAAGAAAAACCGCTCTCCGGACCAGTAGTTGGCGTAATGGCTATGTCACTGGACTCCCATGTAGTCAACCGCAGTTTGAGTCCTGAACCTGGTAGCTTAAACTCACACCAGGCGCATGGACATGTGTGCCCAAGATCCCAAGAGGAGAATGGAGGAGAAGGGATTGTAGCATGGCCATCCCCCCTGGGAGGCGGGTGTGTGATTTCTCACCTTCTGTCTCTCTGTCTCTGTCTTTCTGGTGAGCGCACATGCCCTATAACAAAACATCTCTTAAAAAAAAAAAAAAAAACACTCTCTTGGAAAACTTTTTTTAATTTAAATTTTGCTTGAAGGCATGTACACTTATGAGACAGGGAGTAAGGGAGGTGAATGAGAAAGCACCCCCATAGGGGAGGATCACACCACAAGCCCTTTTCCTACGTTTCCCCTTTCAGGATTTTTGGCGTATGCACACACTCATTGTGTTCTCAAAATACTGGGTCTGGGACTTGAACCACACAGCTGGCCATGTGGGATGCAGCAATCTCAACTGGTTGGCCCCTATTTGGTTTGTTAACTACACATAATAAATGTTACAAATGATGTTTCCTGCTTTCCTGTGGCCAATCCGAAGCTCAGAAACACATTTACTAACAAATTTCAATAACTGTGCAAGATGCCAAGCTTTGCATGTTTGTGTACTAATATCATCCCAGTTTTATTTCTGTCTGACTCTTCTTTTCTTCTTTTTTTTTTTTTTGTGATATTTTTGCTTTAGGGCTTGTGTGTTAGTAAGAAATCGAGAAATCACACCTCAGGGGGGATAGCCACACCACAATCTCTTCTCCTCCATTTTCCTCTAGAAATCTTGGGCATGCATGCACACACACCCTGCAAGAGTTTTGAGCCACCAGGTCTGGGACTCAAACCACGGTCGGCAATGTGGCAGTCCAGTGATGTAATCATTACGCCATCTGCTGGTCCCATTAACTTTTTTTTTTTTTTGCCATGATTTCTTTAACATACTATACTTCTCTAAAGGAGCTGTATTATCTCCTTTCTGGAAGAGAGAGAGAGAGAGAGAGAAAATCAATCCATCGTCAAATAAACAAAATGAAAAATTTGGCTTCATCCTCACTCCTGCCCAAGATCACAGTCCTTGCATTTTGGATGAGAAGAATCAGGCACTGAGCACTTTGAGTGCTTAGACAAAGTCACACAGCAAGAAAGGGGCATAACTGGGATACTAACCCAAGTATTTCTGAACTCAAAGCCCATGCTCAATGCTGAGTGCTGTGGCACATGCCTGTAGTTCCAGCTCCTTGAGAGGCTGAGGCAGAAGGACCACCAGTTCAAGGTCAGCTTGGGCAACTTAGGGATACCCTAATTCTTTCTTTTTTTTTTTTTCCAAGAATTATTTATTTTTATTTTATTTTTTCATTCATTTATTTTTAATTTGACCAGACAGAAGTATAGAGAGAATGAAAGAGAGAAAGTGAGAAAGCAAGCCACCAGGTCTGGGACTCAAACCATGGTGGGTCATGTGGGAATGTCCAGCACCGTAACCACCATGCCACCTGCTGGCCCCAAGGGATACCCTGTTTCTTTTATTTATTTATTTATTTATTTATTTATTTATTTATTTATTTATTTATTTATGTTTGCTGTAATTCCATGTTCTTTCCACTACCCTATGTTGCTAGATATTCCCCCATAAAGTTTCCCCTGGCCTCCTATCTGGGGAATCTCAAAGTCTCAAGGTCTTCCAGAGTCCAAAAGTAGAGTCATAGAACCAGCCAATATGCCTATCTTCCCCCTTCACACCCAGGACAGGACAAGAGGACACAGGTGCAGGATTGATCTGCATGTCCTCTTCCCAAACCCAGCCTGGCCAGTCCTGAGCAGCCTGTCAAGGGCTTGGCGCCTTCACTCTGGAGCCTGAGTGTGCTGGGAGGAAGCCTCCTGCATGTGTTTCTGATCTGCATGCATCCCGTCTGGTCTCCACAGAGCCATTCCAAGTCCGAGAATCTGTGGGAGCCTTTTTTTTTTTTTTTCCTTCACCACCACCCCCTTTTCTTTCTATCCCTTTCTCTCTCTCTTTCTGACAGCTTTCCTCTTTGAATCAGGGAACTAGACTCTGCCAAGTGAAAATGTAACTCAAACCTCAAAGGGCTCAACAACAGCTAGAAACTCATGAGGCATGATCACCCCAGAGATGCCGGCTCTGCTGTCAGGACACCCGCTGGGTACAGCTCAGTCTGCCGAGGCTGATGGGACAGCTGCCCCAGGCTTGGCCATTTTTAATGATGACATATCTAAATATCCTTGGGTCTCATCACCAAGAGGTAGGGGTGATGTCTCCATGGTATAGGTGAGGCTCCGAGAGGTAAGACCCTTGGTTTATTTCATGCCTACTGTGTGCTGAGCACCTTACATCTGCATCTCACTCCCTGCAACCCAAGAAGGCAGGCAGGAGGTGGTCACCCTGAAGTTCCAAGAGGTTTCCATTTTTCCTTCATCACACACCTGAGAGTTGAAGTCAGAATTCAAACTCAGAACTGTGTGACTACAAAGCCATTTTCCCCCCGCCATGCAGTGGGACACCTTGAGAGGTACAAGCAGGGAAACAGGGACACACATTGGAAACCAACCAATGTTCTCCACTAAACACCATATACACACAAAAGATCCACCCAGGAGAGAATCTATTGCCTACAGACTTGCTAGGAAGAGTTGAGTGACCCAAGCAAGTGGGCTTAACAGAAATGGCTTTCTGGGCCAGCTGCAGTGAGTGGCTCAGTGGGAATACAATGTTCAGTGATGCTGAGGCCACATCGGAAGGTCTTGGGTTCTCCTTCTAAAGTTTTCCTTGCACACATGTGGCATGCCCATGATCCTGGCCAGCTAAGACTGGGAGTAGATCCTGTTGGAGGTACCTATCTCTCTTTCTCTTCCTGTAACTCCATTACTCATGGAATGAATGAATAAATCAACCAAACAATCAATAATCAAGAAATGGCTTTCTTTAAAAAAATTTTTTTTAATTTACTATAGGGCACATGTATTCATCAGAGAGTGACACAGAAAGAGAGAGAAAGTACCCTGCCCACAAAGGAAATGACCACACCACAATTGCTTCTCCATTCTTCTTTCAGGATTTTTAGTATGTACATGCACATGCCCAGTGTGGTTTTCAAACTGTTGGGTCCAGGACTTGAACTATGCAGTTGCCCACATAGGATCCAGATTCCTTAACCATCATGCCACCATGCTGGCCTAAGAAATGGTTTCTCAAGGAGGTGAGTCTGTTCCCAATTATAAAAGTGAGGAAATAACAGCAGCATTTGTCCTTGGGCCTCAAATGCCACAAGACTGGCTACATAATTTGTAGGCATGGTGAAAATGTGGGACCACAGGTTCAAAACTTATTCCTTTCAAGATGGCAATGGGAGTGCATTAAACTGAGCACACATCCCTGTGCAACTGTTGGGGTCATATGGCTGGGCTGGCCCTCAGCGACTCCTCTGTACCCACAACAGGAACCACTTTACAGATCATCTGGTTCCAGAAGCCCAGAGTGGGAGCCGCCTGCACAAAGCACAGTAGCCTGTAAGTGGTAGAGCAGAAATCATCACCAGGGACTCTCAGCTCCTCATCCAGGGCTCTCTCTCCATTGCTGCCGGCAATAGGCTTAATAAATACCCGTTCATTAATTCCACTAAAAGAAGAAGTGATAATCATTCACAACCAAGTGTAAATCATTAGCACTAGTTTACACGATGATCCTCTCCCTCCTGCCACCCCCCCCCCAGGGATTTTCATTTTCATAGGCATCAAAGCCTTAAGCTCAAAAAATACACTCACTTGTGGCCTTTCAAGTATCAAAGAGTAGATGAGAGGGGGTTCTAGGGACAAAAGAGAGAAGGCATCTATTTAGAGGTCAGGCCAATCCTAGAGAGGATATAGAGATGACTTGACACTGGGTCTGAGGGATGCCTCTAACCTCACACAGCAGCCCAAACACATCGTCTTCATCATGGAGGACTCCCTGGGGTAACTCGCTACTGTAATCTTCATCAAGGCCAAAAACCTTTCTACGGGAAGCTGGGCTCACCACACTTTGACTTTTTCCCCTAACCTCAAAGTAAAGTCACTTCTTCCCCAAAACAGGACCTGAAAAAGAAAAAAAGAAAGGAAGAAAAATCAGATGGACAGCAGATGGGAGGTAAGAACGGGTGGTAAGAAAGGAAAGAAGAAAGGAAAAACATTTATTTTGCTTGTAATAAGCTTAATGAGAACAGTGACGATAGCCATCCTGGTACCCAGAGCCTATGGCAGGCAAGCCAGTCAGTTCAGTGTCTGAATGGCTGTCGTTACTCAACAGAATTACAGATGAGTGGATACACGGATGGATAATGGGTGTGTGCATGAATGCTTGGATGCATGAATATCTGTATAGATGGATAGACATGTGAACAGGTAACCAAATGCTGGGAGATGGGTGAATTGACAGAGTGGATGGGAGGATGGATGAATTGACATAGATACGAAGATGGACGGATGAAAGCGTGATGAACAGCTGGGTAGATAGATGGGTTAATAGCTATATGGGTGGAATAGTGAGTGAAATTCTAGGCCCTGTATTAGATGATTTTGTATTGATGTCTTTTTATTCTCCACATCTTACCTTGAATCCTCTTTGAACAAAGTAGTGGTTTAAATAAGCAAACTACCTCTCATAAGCTCTGTGAACTAAAAACAAAGATCACCCTATAATAAGATGGGGAACCCAAGACTCTGAGAAGCTAAATACCTTATACAAAGTCACCTTTCTTCTAGTTATGAAGGGACCCAGCCTAAGTGACCCAGAGCTCTAAAGAGGTTGAGCATTCACCCAAGGGAAGCCCACAGCATCCTCTGCTGACCCTTAACCTGTTGGCCCTTAACCTGCTGACCCTTCTGACCCCCTTCATCTCCTCCCACAAGGACAGACACTCAACATAGTTTCTAATAATATCATGCTTCTTTTCTGGAATATTCCAGCTAACACCTCCTGTCTCACAAAGATTGAACCAGGCTGGCCCAGAGGGCATTAAGTCTCTCTGACACAAACCAAGCCCCAGCAGGACAGCTGATGCATCAGCTTAGCTTTCTGTTATCCTGATCCTATGTTTTCATGTAGAGTCTTGGCATCTCCCCAGCCCTGTTCCATCTCACTCTTTATTTCAACTTTTGAGGGTAAGGCCTTTTGAAGACCAAGGAATCCTAGGAGAATGTAATGAAAGCTAATAAATCTACCCTACACGCCATCTGCACATAAACACAAAATGATGCACACACAGACCTCCTCATTGAAGAACCCTGGATGTAATGCTGTCTCTCATGTGTGTTGAATCTTCATATTCCGAGTACCAAGTACATGAAACATCCAGTGGTTTCCCCTGCACCATGCTCATCTCTCTCTCTATCACTGTCAAAGTGCTGAACAGTAATGCAGATGCTGGGGTTCCACAGCCTCTGTGAGCCTGGTAGGCAACTTCTAAGACGGTCATGTTTCCTGGAATGCATGCCTTTTTATTTCCCCTCCACCTGCCCAGAGAGCTAGACCTAGCGATGTTCTTCTTTTTTTTTTTTTTTTTTTTTTTTTTTTTCAAATTGTTTGTTCAACAAAAAAAAGCAAAGA